CACCCCCCCGCGCGGGCGCACGCGCCCGCCCGCCACTATGAGCCAGGGCACCGCGGATCTAGCCTCGGAGACGGTAAGGAGACCCGGGGCAGCGGGAGGAGAGGCGCACGGCGGCAGCCAGCTCCCGCAGGCCTATTGTTACCGCACAAGAGCCAGCTCCGGGCGTCGGCCGCCACCGTGCCCGCGCCCCAGCTGCTCCGGCCCGCGCTCGCGGGGCCATTGCTTCCAAGAAGCCCCCGGGACTGCGCCCTCCCGCACGCGCTACGGGTCTGAGGTCGCGGCAGACTGGTGACGAGCTCACCTCATAAGTGTTGCTGCAGGCTGCACTCCAGTGACTCTTCAGAGCGATCCCTCGCAAAGGAGAAGGCCTCCACCCCCATGGCCAACCCTGCACGGGTCAGAGACGCATCTCTGGAAGAACCGTGCTGCCCTCGATCTCCCGCTGCGGGGTGGAGCCCCTGGCCCTCTGTGCGTGCCGGTACCAAGTGAACTTCGTGCATTCCAGTGGGGGCTATAGGATAAGGCAACGGGCCTATGTTCCTAATCTCAAAGACAAGTAGGAAGACTTTGGTACCGGTTTAGGGTCAGCGAGAACAATAAATGCAAAGGCTTCGAGGCGGGAAAGTGCCATGTCCAAGGAACAGAAAGCAAGCCCTCTGGGGTCATATTGAGAAGGGGACTGAAGGGAGTAGGCAGGAACCTGGACATGGGCAGAATGACTTGTCGAGGATCCAAGGAATACCCTTGGGAGGTTCCCCACGAACTGAGGGACTGTGCTTCTGGTCAGCTGAGAGCAACTAGGATTTCCTACTTGTCCCTGCAGGGGAGACTTCCCAGGTCCTACCTAGTTTGGGAGGTCGGTGGCTGTTTGCTTTGTGTGTGCTACTGAAGACTGAACTCCTCATGCAGGCCAGAGTGCTACAGATGAGCCTCCCCAACAGGGTCACTGGGGGATTCTAGGGAAGCACTTCACTGCTGAGTCAGATCCCTAGCCCAGGCAAGTGCCCTACCACTGAGCCACGCCCCCAGCCTCTCACTGGGCTCTCCCACTGAACCATATTTCCAGATCTTGAAGGAGTGAAAACCTTTTTTTGTAATTATAAAGATGATGCATTATAATTTCAGTGCCTTTGGGAAGTTATCCATAACCTGAGCAATTAATATTTGTTGTATTTTTCATTTGCATTTTTCCCCTTGGCTTAAAACATATTTCTATTATTCTGTAACTTTTACCATTAACGTTGTTGCTAGCACTTTTCCATATTTTTTAAAAAATGATCTGACTTTCTATGTAGCCCAGGCTGGCCTCAAATTCAGCATCCTTCTGCCTCAGCTTCCCAAATCCTAACTGTCACTACTCAGAGATGTTTTCTAAAATGTAACCAAGGACCAGGGAGAAGGCTCCAGGGATAAAATGCTTGCCTGCACTAGGACTGGAGTTCAGATCTCTGGAACCCACGTCAAAGCCCCATGGGTACAGCTGCTGTCTGTAATCACGATGTTCAGGAAGTTGAGACAGGATCCCATGGGCAAGCTTGCTAGCTAGATGAGCCACAGTTGTCGAGCTCTGGGTTCAACAAGAGAGCCCATGTCTAAGTAAAAAGGAGTAAAGGGAGACACACAGTGTCTGTTTCAGACCTCCACAAACACACGAACATGAAAACACACAGACATGTGAGCACACCAGATACATATACACAACAAATAAAAATAAAGTATATTGGAGGTGGGGACTGGAGTGATAGCTCAGCAGTTAAGAGTAGTTGTTGCTCTTTCAAAGTACTGGGGTTCAGTTCCCAGCACCCATATCAGACAGTTCACAATTAACTGTAAGCCCACCTCCAGGGGATCTGGAATCCACAGGCACCTAGACACACACACACACACACACACACACACACACACACACACGGGGGGGGGGGAGAGAGAGAGAGAGAGAGAGAGAGAGAGAGAGAAGAGCAGGAAACATGAAATGAAAACATATGTAGCATCACTGATCCACTCTGCCAGGTCATGGGCAGAGGAAGTCACCATCCTTTAAGTGGAAGATGAGAGATGGAGGGAGATCAGTGGGGAATGGAATGCTTATCTTGAGCAGAGAAGGCTCTCAAAGGCACACAGTAGTCCTGAGGACCCACCATACTTCAGTAGATACAGAGTAAGTCACTCAGCCAGACAGAACCTCTAATTCTCACCCCCCAACACTCACTCCTCTTCCCATGTGTATTCATGAATGGAGGCCTGAGGAATGGCACATAACATTCCTCAGATATTATCCACATACACCCCTTTTTTGAGGGCCTCAAATGAGCTAAATAGGCTGGGCTGGCCGACCACTGAGCCCCAGAGATCCACCTGTCTCTACTCCCAGCACTGGACTGAATTCAGCACATACTTTTACAACTGAGGCGTCCCCTGCTCCCACCCCTCCTTTCTAACTATCAAAGTACACTGGCTGCTTCAGGATGGAGATGTCCCTGGCTGTCCCATGGTATATGTGGGGTTCTGCTGCAGCAGCTGGAACAGGCAGCATACAAATGGGACTGGTGAACCTGAGCGGGTGCCTTCTAGTGACCCTGTTTGCATTTCTTCCAGGGAGATGACAGTCTGTCTGCAATTACCTTTGATTCTGACTTTGAGACGGTGAGTACAGGTTGGGATGACAGTCCCCATATGAGTTGCTTCTTGGATGTATGTTTGTAAAAGTCTCCCCAGATGCTGGTAGACCCAGAGCACTGGTGACCAGAGCTGCTTCTCGTGTAGAAGTTTCAGTCTGGTAGTTGAATTTAAATAACTGAGATTATCATTTTTAAACTTTTTATTTTGTAGAAATCAAATTTTTTTATAAATTTCTTTTTCTATTTATTATGCATACAGTGTTCTGCCTGCACAACAGAAGAGAGCACCAGATCTCCTTACAGATGGTTGTGAGCCACCATGTAGTTGCTGGGAATTGAATTCTGGAAGAGCAACCAGTGCTCTTATCCTCTGAGCCATCTCTCCAGCCCTAGATAACAATTTTAAGGACTAGGAATGTAGCTCAGTGGTAGAGAGCTTACCTAGCAGGCATGAAGCCCTGGGTTCCATCTCTAACACTGAACAAACTGGGCACAGTGGTGGGAGGTAGTATAGGAGGGGGTAGGGGGAGTTTAATGTCATCTGGCCTGGACTACTTAAGACCCTGTCTCAAACAATAGCAGCAGCAGCAACAAAATAATAAAAACTGAGGTTATCATTTGAAAGCTAGTTTTAGAAATTAATTGTGGAGGTCTCAAAAGATAGCTCGATGATTAAAAGCACTTACTGCTCTTGCAGAGTGTATAGATACAATTCCCCGTACCCACATGGCAGCTAACACTGGATCCCCAGAGTGCTAGGAACTAGTCAAGAAAACTGGCAGAGGTGGTCAGATACACTGTAGAGCCATGTCCTATCCCATAACTGGGGAATTTTATCACTGGGCACACAATCTATCACTGATCCACACCCCAGCCCCTCACTGGGGAAGTCTAGGCAGGCACTCTACAGTGGAAACACACTTCCAGTGACCCTGGGGATCGGCTGGCCTCTTGGGTTCTTTGTAAATTGTGCTTAGTAGCAAAGGCAGCATGCTAAGTGCTCACTTAGGGACAAGCCAATGAAGTTACCCTGAGTGTAGACTTGATCCCAGCTATACATGAGCTCTGAAGGGACCCAACACAAGAAGTCTCAACTGCATTTAGAAGCCTCATAAGCCCATTGTCCCCAAGGAGGGACCCCTGTGTGACAAAACCTTTCCTTGGGAGATGAAACACACACATCTACTCACCCTAGATGGAGATCCCACAGCAGACCAAAGTGAGAGGTTACTTCATAGGAGCAAAAATTACTCAAAGGCAGCTGCATTACCAAGGCCAAGCATGGGTGACAGCTTACAAAGCTGGGAACATGGAGCAACTGAACAGCCAGCAGGAAGCTCAACAGGTTGGAGACTGTCCTCTCCAAGTGACTCTGCCCTAGACTTCTCCCAAGCAGCAGCCGGTCTGGTCTCAGAGTCTGAGAGTCTTCTTAGTAGCTTGCCTTGTCTGAGAATGACTCTCAGCTTTGGCAGGGAGGAGCCTAGAGAATCTGGTCAGTTTCAGGGACTTCCTGGAGCTGTTTTGAGTTGTTTTCCTTTGTGCTAAGGAGCATCCTGTGGGATGGAATGTTTCAATCTGGGAGGAAATTGTTATACAACATGTCCACAGCCAGGAGCTCTCCTTTATATCATAGGGCTATGAGCCCAAGATACTCAATACAGAGGCAATCCAGATGCCACAGGCTGTGGAAGGAGCCACCTGAAAAGCCCCAAGCAGAGTCCAAGTCTCTCTGGGGCATAGAGGACAGCGTTTCCACCAGAGGAGGAGCAAGGTCACACCCCATGCTGCGCCCTCACACCCAGCCTGAGTGCTACTTAGGAGGGCAGGTACCTCTCCATGGCCCAGCCCGAGAAGCAGCAGAACCTTTTTCCCACCAGACTACATGGGCATCTGTTTGCCATGAAGACTGTTTTTCACACAGCATCCTCTTCCTTGCTGGATTTCTCTTCCTAAATGGGGATCTGCCATGGACTTACTTACAAGGGATTCATCTTGCCACACATGCTGTGGGCACATAGGTATTTGCCAGCATGCAGAGCAGGGACAAGGACAGTAGAGGAGACAGACCTTTCATTTTTCTGGTTTCTCTGTGTATCCCTGGCTGTCCTAGCACTCACTCCATAGACCAGCCTGGCCTTGAACGCAGAGATCCACCTGCCTCTGCCTCCTAAATACTGGAATTAAAGCTTATGCCACCACGCTCAGAGAGAGTGAGCTTTGTGACTTCTAACCCCAGCCCTGGACCTTCCATGCATGGAGTCTCTTGGATCTCCAAGAGGTCTGCCCTGGCCAGGGTCTCCATCAGGACCTGTCTCACTCATTCCCCACTGAACATGGTGTAGCTTCCAACAGTACCACTGAGGTCTCTCAGAAAGCCCAGCATACTTCATGTTGCTTCTTCTTTCTTTCAGAAAACAAAAAGAAAAGGTTTCCACAAACCTCCTTCCACATCACCAAGTAAGTATGACCAGATAGACCTGCTATCCCTTCATCCCCACGTGACTCTGCAGTGTGGCAAGAATGGCCTTTCACCAGTGTCCTGAAAAAAGTGAAGGATGTTGCTTTTCTGGTGTGGTTGGAGGAGGGGCTAGATAGATGGCTCAGTGGTTAATAGCACTTTCTGCTCTTCTAGAGGACCTGTGTTTGGTTCCCAGTGCCCACTTATAGCCATCTGTAACTCCAGCTCCAGGGGATCTAATGCCTCTGCCACTGTTCCTGTCTGTACTCACCCGCACAGAGACACACACACCTATACACAATTTAAAATAATAAAAATAAATCTTCAAAAAAAAAAAAAAAAAGAGGGTCTCTTGAACCCAGGGTTTCTAGCCTAGCCTGGCCTGGCCTGGCCTATCAATATATAAAACCCGACCTCACAGTAAGTCAGTCAGTAAATTATTGTGCTTCTTGGTATTTGCCGGCACGTGTTTCTCCTGGATTGCCCTTTGCATATCATGTTTGACCAGTTTTTGTCTTTGTAAAGCAAAGGTGTTTGAGGCACGGCAGTGGCACAGCTCTAAACTACATGTTCCCTCCTCAGAGTCACCTTACTACTCCAAGCCCAAAAAAGTGACATCATGGCGGTCTCTGAAGACAGCAGGGAGCATGCCTCTGAGCAGCAGAATATCCTTGACCCCACAGAAGCTGTGGCTGGGAACCTCGAAGCACGGTAAATGGCTCTCCTGTGGACGGTGCTCTGGCTTGAGACAGTGTGGGAACTCAACAATGATTTGAGATAGCATGTATGAGTCATGTGGTTTCAGTGAGGTTGTCTTTGATCTTCTCAAAGACATTGAACATGTCATTGGTGGGCATAGCTTTCCCAGTCCCACCTGAGGACACTCTAGTCCCTTTTGATCAAGGTTGTCTCAGCGCTGCTCTGTAGTAGAAGTATGATGGAGCCAGTTTCTACCAGCTTGCAGGACACAACTGTTATGGTTTCTGTGAGCTGGTCTTTGTCACACTGGAACCCTGAAGTGGGAATGTTTACACCAGGGAAATGGGCACATGTGACAGATACAGGCTCCCTGGGTTGATCTCTGTGAGCTGCTTGTTAGGCATTTACCAGTATACCCCCATCTCCTGGCATCTTCTCATCCTGGAGCTTGATGAGAGAGGTACAGCTTCACAGACTGTGTGCTTGTACCTGTCCTGTTAAACCCATGCACATTCAAACCAGGAAGTATGACCCAACCCCTGAGCTCCATGGTTACCTCAGAGCACGCGTGGATCCACCCCCCCAGCTGCACTCCTGACCACCTGACAGAAGCTGTGAGAGCAAAGAGGGCAGACCCCAGGCGTTCTGGCAACCATGGTGAGCATGCTCCCGGGGACAAGGCCAGGAGAGCAGAAAGGAAAGCCTCTAGCAATTGAGGGGTGAGATTTTTTTTTTTTCTTTTTGCACGAGCTCCATCTGATGGACATTCTAGAATGTTCTGAGGGACAGTGATTCATGAAGAGTCTCATAGCCAAGCCATCATGTCACCCTCCTTAAATAGAGTTACATTTAAATTCCTTATGTATGGGTGGGCTATGTATGTGCCGTGGCATGCATGTGGAGATCGGAGGACAATTTGTGACATCATTTCCCTCCTGCTACCATGGGGAGCCCCTTGGGATGGAAGTCGGGTCTTCAGGCTTGGTAGCAAGTGCTGTTACCTGCTAAGCCACCTTGCTGGTTCCTTGTTTGTTCCTTACTAGTGTTTGCCCATGGGGCCTGTTGGCCTCTCTGGGCCTTAGTAGAGAGGAATAGCTCTTCAGCGTGGTGATCGCTGGCTCCATATCCCTTTGAACCAAATCTACTGATTAGGGTTACACTTTAGGCTTATTTGGCTATTTTGGATTTATAACTGGTTAGGCGTCATTAAAACCTCCGTAAGTGGAAAGATGGCTCTGTGGGTAAGAGCATTTGCTATGCAAACAGGGACCTGAGTTCAGATATCAGCACTCATGCAAAAATCCAGGTGTGATCTCAGTAACCCAGCACTGTGGTGGGCAGAGACTGGAAGACATCAGGGCTTGCTGCCTGCCAGCAAGTCAGTGAGGGAATAAGGCAAAGAGCCCTAGAGCAGGACTCCCAATGTCCTCTTCTGCCCTCTGCATGAACACAGGCTTACAACACACATAGGTATCCACATGTACACACACATACACGTGTGTACATACACACAAGTACTCACACCCTCAGTTAGCCAGGCTGGTGGGTACTTCCTTGTCTCCCCAGCATTGAGAAGGTTGAGGCAGAAGCATCTTGAATTCCAGACAATCTGGACTGTCCAGTGAGACTCCTCTATCTCAGCAAACAAGTATAGTTTTATTAACTTTCAGGGTTCCCTTCAGGCATAACCAGGGATCCTTTCTATTGTCCCATGATGTCCTAAGAGGTGTGTGTGTGTGTTCCTCCAGGTCACATCTCTGGGAATTCTGTCTACAGAGAGAAAGAGGACATGTATGATGAGATCATCGAGTTGAAGAAGGTAGGGTCCATCCTGCTCCTTTCTGATTGGCAGTGATAACCTTTCTCTGAAAGTCAGTGTCATACTGAAACTTGAGTGTCAGTCACATGGAGTTCGTTCTCTGGCACCATACCATAGGATCTGGCCATCCTAGCTGAGGGGAAGGCCTGTCCACCAACTGCAGAAGAGGTAGTGGGCTTGCCAGGCATGCTGGTACAGGTGAGTCATCCCAGCACTGAGGAGGCAGGAGAGTAAGGTGTTCAAAGCCAGCTGAGCAACATAGTGAATTCAAGGATAACCAGGGATACATGAGACCCTGTCTCCAAAATGCAAGCATGCCAGCTGTGTGGCAACAAAAGGACCCCCTGAAAAGGAGTTGCACCCTCTTCTTTGGACATTCTCAACTGAGGCTGACCTGACACAGGAGGCAGTGTAGAGAGGTTCCCACTCTTCCGGGAGACTACTAAGTGGATGTGGATAGCCCCCAACAATAAATGATTGTTACAAGTGGCACTTTGTAACAGTGGGAGCCATCCATGTTTGGGGGTAGAAATAGACTTTTAGGGAAATGACCCTGACTATTCAAACTCATCGTAAGTTTTTGGTGCTCTGCCTGAAGGGAATTGGAGACATAGTAGTAGAGTACTTTCTAGAATGTGTATGACACAGTGTTCCGTCATGGAACCTCAGAGTGCTGTGTAGAATCAGTCACACAATAAGGGACTCAGGGTGTGGCTCAGTGGTAGAGCACCTGCCTAGAATCCCCCAGTGAGGGTCTGGGGTGTGGCTCAGTGGTAGAGCACTGCCTAGAATCCCCCAGCGAGGGACTGGAGTGTGGCTTAATGGTAGGGTGGTAAGGTTGCCTAGAGTCTATCAGTGATGGGTTTGTGGATGTGGCTTAACAATAGAGTGCCAGCTGAGGGCACACAAGGCCCTAGGTTCAATCTTGGAACTATAAAAACTAAAATATAATAAGAGTTGATTATAGGATCTGTTTCCCCTTGGCCTGACAAAGCTTGGTAAGAAAATCCATCCATAGGGGGATGTTGGGAGCATCTCTCCTCAGACATAGCTGAGGGCTAGTATTCCTTCATTATTATTATTATTCTTTTTAAGTGTGTGTGTGTGTGTGTGTGTGTGTGTGTGTTGCTCTGTGTGCCTATATGTGCATGTGGGTACAGGTGCCTGTGGAGGCCAGAAGAGGCCATTGAATCCACTAGAGCAGGAGTAATAGGCAATTTTTTACTAACCCACTGAGGGTGCTGAGAACCTAACTCAGGTCCTCTGCAAGAGAGTATGTGCTATTAACTGCTAAGCCATCTCTCTAACCCTGTGGCTAGTATTGCTAAGGAGCATCAGACTGTGTTATGTAATGTGACAGATGGAAGAAGGTTCAGGACTTTGGGACTTTTCAGGGCCGGGGTTCACAGGCTTAAAAGTATTTTGTCAGCTGGTTGCCATTGGCATTGTAATGGGAAAGATCTCAGGTGCATTGGTTTTTCCTGTACCCACAAGTTTTGGGATTACCCCCTTCACCCCTTGCTGCCAGATTGCTCCATTACATGACACCAGGGAATTTGGGGGGGAGGGGGTTGTTTCAAGACAGGGTCTCTCTGTGTAGCTCTGACTATCCTGGAACTTGCTCTGTAGACCAGGCTAGCCTTCAATTCAGAGATGCACTTGCCTCTGCCCCCTGAGTGCTGGGATTAAAGGCATATACCACCACCTCCCAGCTTTTAAAAAAAATTAAGATTTATTTATTTAATTTTTATCAATGTTTTGTTTTCATGTACATCTGTAGACTAGAAGAGAGCATCAGATCCCATGGATTCTGTGGCATAGAAGGTTGTGAGTCACCATGTGGTTACTGGGAATTGAACTCAAGACCTCTAGAAAAGCAGCCAGTATTCTTAACCTCTGAGCCATCTCTCCAGCCCCCATGACACCCAGGGCTTTAAAAACCTCTTTCAAAGCCAAATATGGCTATGATCCCAGCAATTGGGAAACTGAGGCAGGAGAATTGCTCCCAGATTTAGGCTGGCCTGGGTTGCAAAAAAAAAAAGACTCTAAAGAAAAGAGGGGGTGGGGGAGAGAACCTCCCAAATTAGGATTCACTGTACTATGGAGAATTTGTATGAATGTGACCCTCCTTTTCTTTGTTTTTGGGTTGGTTGAGTTTTGTTTTTATATTTATTTATTTTGTGTGTTCATAAAGGTAAGAGAACCCCTTAGAGAAGATGGTTCTCTCCTTCCACTGTGCATGTACCTGCATGCAAGCATGTCCATCCTGGGGATTGAACTCAGGTCATGAGGCAAGCCCCTTTACCTGCTGAACCATCTTGACAGCCCCACCCTCCTTTCCTTTTTTTTTCCAGTCCTTACATATGCAGAAAAGTGATGTGGATCTGATGAGAACAAAGCTCCGACGCTTGGAAGAGGAGAACAACAGAAAGGACCGGCAGATAGAACAGCTTTTGGATCCAGGTCGAGTAAGTCCCAGGGCCCACAGAGGCCTCCTGCTGGCTAGTGATGCCAGTGGTACCATGGGAAGCAGACAGGAGGAAAAGCCACCGTGGGCTTAATGTCTCCATTTGCTTCCCACAGGGCCCAGACTTTGTGCGAACCCTGGCTGAGAAAAGGCCTGACACTGGTTGGGTGAGTAGCGCCTCCTGCCCCCAGGAGAGCCTTCCATTGATCTCATAGTGGAACTGCAGGAAGGGCATGGGCTCAGAACTCTAGAACTGTTGTTTATAGAGCCACAGAAATCACAAGATTGTACTTTGAAGAATGTCAGGGGGCAGCAGGTTTAGCAGAGGCTAAAAAAGGTAGAACAAATGCCACACAATTACAGTGAGGCTTGGGGGGAGTGAGAGTGTGGAACCCTGACTTCAGTCTATAGAACAGTGCTAGGGAGGGAACACAGTTAAATAAATAAATAAATAAATAAATAAATAAGCAAGCAAATAAGCAAATAAATAAATAAATAAATAAATAAATAAATAAATAGAAGAAGGCACTTGGGAGTTCAAGACCAGTCTGCTCCATAGAGACCAGCCTAGGCTACATGAGACCTTGTCTCAGAATACAAACAAACAAACAAACAACAACAAAAAGAGTCTCTGTACAACTTGGGAATTACATCCAAACCTCAGTTTCTGTTTTAAAATGGGGTGGGAATTAGGGTGCGGTATGGAATATGTTATTGTCCCCATTAGTCAAGTTTCAAGGAATAAGACAGCAATGGGTTAATGGGCTTCATGTCATGAAGAAATGTACAGGAAAGCCTCAAGACTAAAGGAGAACTGAAAGAATGCCATGAAGCATTAGGTTACAGCAGTGTTCTCTATCAGGAGTATACAGAATATCTGTAGTCACTAAAGATATTCCATCTGTGAGATAGGACCAGCAAGACTGGCATCAAGGCACTTGCCACCAAGCCTAATAGCCTGAGTCCCACCCTAGAAACCCATGTGGAAGGAGACTTCAGCCTCTGAAAGTTGTCCTCTGACCTCCATATGAGGGCCGTGGCATGCACTTCCCACCCAACCCCTAACAATAAATGCAATAAAAATAGTAAAAAGTCTAAAAATAATATATATATATTATATATATATATCAATCATGTCATGTAGAAATACACATTTAATACTAGTGATTAAAGATGGTCTGTGTTTAGGACTCAAAGTCAACACCTAACACTTGTGAATGATCAGTATATGGCCACAAGAAAACTATGTATTTATTTAGACAGGGTCTTTCTATGTTATCCCCACTGGCCTGGATCTTCTGGCTTCAAACAATCCCCAGTCTTATCTTCTTAAGTGCTAGAACCATAGGCATATGCTGCTGGCTCAAGAAAATGTCTTTGTTGTTATTGTTTTCAAGATAGGGTTTCTCTGTGTAGTCCTGGCTGTGCTGGAACTCTTCTATAAACCAGGCTAGCCTCGACTTCAGAGATCCACCTGCCTCTGCCTCCTGAATGCTGAGATTAAAGGTGTGTGCCACAACTGCAAGAAGAAAAATCCCAAATTTGTGACTGTGTAGTCAGCATGTTTGTGACCTCATTTCATCTTTTGGAAGAAGGATCTGCATATGTGTGTGTCTGTGTGCTCCTGTCTCCATCTCCCCAGTGCTGAGGTTACAGGTGTACAGTGACACAGTGGCTTTGTATGTGGTGCTGGGGATCTGAATTCAGTTTCCCATGCTTGTGCAAGAAGCACTTGAGCTCCTGAGCCATCTCCCCAGCCCCCCAGTCCCCCAGCCCCCCAGCCCTCATTTTAAAAGCAAGAAAATGAGGTTTACCCAAATCTGGCTCCTCCCTGCTGTTCCCAGGCTCGGGGAAGGCAGGGATGGTGGTTGCGGTAGACTTGGCTTCTCATCTCACCAGCACTACATACTGGGAGGAAAGAAATTATTTTAAGTTACACTGAGTAAAACCTTACACAGCATTAGCAACAAGATTAGCAAGGATAGTGCAAACCAGATTTGGCGGGGTCTAGATAAAAACAGGAGTACTCAGAACCTACATATCAAGTGTTAGTGCTGGCAAGGCCAGCTCATTGGGACTCATTCTGTGGGGCCTGCTCTGTCATACTGCTCTTGATAGATGCACTCTTCCTGACCAGCTGCCCAGGGACAATGATAGCTGCCTAGGTCAGCAATTTGCAAAGCCTTCCAAAGTGATTCATAGCAACCTCAAAATATTTTTGTTAATTAAAAAGTATTTTTTAAGATTTCTTTATTGTGTATATACTATTCTGTCTGTATGTATGCTTGCAGGCCAGAAGAAGGCCCCAGATCTCATTACAGATGGTTGTGAGCCACCATGTGGTTGCTGGGAATTGAACTCAGGACCTCTGGAAGAGCAGCTAGTGCTCTTAACCACTGAGCCAACTCTCCAGCCCCCAATTAAAAAGTATTTTTGTATTTATCTATCAATTGGGAGGGGGTACTCACCAGATGCACACATGGAGGTCAAGGTGGGCGGTGGTGGTGTACAACTTTAATCCCAGCATTTGGAAGGCAGAGGCAGGTGGATCTCTGTGAGTTCAAGGCCAGCCTGGTCTACAGAGTGAGTTCCAGGAGAGCCAAGGCTGTTACACAAAGAAACCCTGTGTCGAAAAACCAAAACCAAAACAGAACAACAAAAAAATATGTGGAGGTCAGTGGACAGTTTGTGGGAGTCAGTTCTCTCTTTCCACCATGTGGATTCCAGGGATCCAAGTTAGGTCATCAGATTTGGTGGCACGTATCTTTACCCACTGAGCCATCTTGCCAGGCTCCAATGTTAAGTTTTTTAAAGAATATTTTAAAATTCAGGCATAGTGTTGTAGATCTATAACTCCAGCATTCAGGAGGTAGACGCAGAAGGATCAGAAATTCAAGGTCATTTAGAGTAAAGAAGGATTTTAAGGCCAGTCTGCGCTACATGAAACCATGTCTTAAAAAGGAAGAAAGTATATGTCTAATAGTGTACTGTTAATTGAGATGTCTGCTTAGGACATTGGATGAAGATGTAGAATTCATTAATGAATGAACATGTATTTCCATAGTGAAAAATCTTTTTTTAATTTTTAATTTTATGTGTGTGGGAGTTTTGTATGCATATATGTCTGTATGCCACATGCATGTCCACTGCCCTCCAAGGTCAGAAGGAGGGGATGACATCATGTTCCCTGGAATCCGAGTTTCAGATGCTTATGAGCCACTGAATAGTTTCTGGGAGTTGAATCTGGGTCCTCTGGAAGAGCAGCCAGTGCCACTGAGCCTTCTCTCCAAGCCAAGCCCTGTATTATATTGTTCCAGTGTTCTGTGTGTGTGTGTGTGTGTGTGTGTGTGTGTGTGTGTGTGTGTGTGTGTGTGTGTGTGTGTGTGTTAGTTTGAAGTTGACTTTAAAAAGAAAATGTTGTTTAGGTTATAAAGGAAATACCTCCCCAAGGAGACATAAGGAGAAGGAAGGCTCAGGCCTGCTGGAACAGAGCAGTCAGTCCCTTGACCTTGACCTTGGGCAAGGACTTGCTGGGTCCCTGTGGGTCCCAGGCACTGTACTGCACATCTAGCCCTCTCCTAGAATTTGCAGTGTGTTCCCTAGGACAGCAGTTGGCTGCTGCCCTCTGACCCTCCATCTTGCTCTCCAGTCACTTACTCAGCACTGCTCAGTGAGGGAGCAGGTTGGGGGCCTTTAGTCATCACTAGAAGTGCACTAAGGAAGGTAGAAGAGTGGGATGGATGTGCACGAATCCTGACAGGAAGAAGCTTGGAGTCTGTAGGGTCTCCTAGGAGGGAATACCCAACTATCCTGGGGACCCAGCAGGTTGAGCCCTCAGTGGGTGACTGTGCTAAGGTGGTGGCCCTCTGCTGGCAGGTCATCACCGGGCTCAAGCAAAGGATCTTCAAGCTGGAGCAACAGTGCAAGGAAAAGGACAACACTATCAAGTACGACCTGAGGGGGCTAGTGGTGGGTGGTCCCCAGTGTCGGTTGGGTGCTGCACTGGGCCAGGAAAGACTGGCCTCTCTTCCATCCACCCTTTCCATGTTGTTCTACCTTCTTTGCCGCATCTCTGTTCCAACCTAAAACTGAGAAATGTTAACTCCTCCTTTCCTCGTATGTCATGGTGGGAAACAAGCACTCTACCACTAGGCAGGTTCTCTACCACTGAGCCACGCCCCAGCCCCTCACTGGGGGAGTCTAGGCAGGTGCTCTACCACTGAGCCACGCCCCAGCCCCTCACTGGGGGAGTCTAGGCAGGTGCTCTACCACTGAGCCACACCTCAGTCATGTTTTCACTTTTAATTTTGAGACAGGACCTCTTTGACTTGACCAGGCAAACAGGCCTTGAACCTTCAAGCCTTCTGTCCCAGGTCCTGAGGAACCTGTATGACTAGATGACACCTTTAGCTTCTGTTTAATTCAAATTTCCTCAGTAAACAGCATTTCTCTTCAACTTTTTACTCCCCCACCACCACCCCCGTCAGTATGCAATCACCTCTGATGTCCAGTGTGAACATTCTGGGTCTGGATTCCAAGGCCTCTCAGCAGACACTGTGCCTTCCTCCCTGCCGCTGGCTAGCCTCACTAAGCATAGGGGATAATTTAGGTGGTTAAGTCCATTTCAAGAAAACTGAGGCAGCCTGCCTATACCCATGCCCTGATTTTCCTACAGCCTTTCTGCCCCTCTATAGTGTTTCTTGATGAATTGGCGACATGTGTCTGGTTGTGTGCTGGTTTCCTGTTTTGTGCCCTGAGCTCTGCTTTCTCCTGTGCCTTCTTTGTGAAGTGTGTGGCATATTAAGGGCAAGGTGTGAATGGATAGTGGATAGTAAATGAATGAATGGTGAGTAGTGAATGGATGATGAATAGTGGACAAATGGATGCTATTCAGTGGATGATGGATGGAGGGATGGAGGGATGGATGATGGACAGATGGAGGGGTGGGTGGGGGGGTGGGTGGTGGGGGGGTGGGGGTGGTGGGGGGGGGGTGTGTGGATCTGCTCTGCTTTTATTTTTCTTTGTCTTGTTCTGAGACAGCATCATGCTGTGTAGCCCAGGCAGAGCTTGAATTCAGTATTCCTGCACCAGCCTCCTGAGTGCTGGGATGGCATGCATGTGTCACTGATTCCTCTTATAAAGTAGGCTATTCTGCTCTGAAGGTGACCCAGGGCCTAGGTTCCTTTGGTACTACTGACTGACTGTGGTGTTTCAGGGCAGCCTTTCTTAGGGTAGACCATCTGTCAGTGGTCTGTGGGTTCATTAGAGGAGTGGCTGGTGCCACCCAGGAGGACTCTGTCTGGTGTGATTGTTCCAGAAGTATGGACTCATGTGGTCAAGGCCAATGTCAGGCTTCTCTTTCTCATTGCCATCCCCTCTCTGACTTCTGGGACTCCTTCTTCCTCTGCCTCTCCCTGGGTGCTAGTCCCACCATACTAACTCTGAACTTGGGTTTCCAGCAAACTTCAGACGGACATGAAGACCACTAACCTGGAGGAGATGCGCATCGCCATGGAGACATACTATGAAGAGGTGTGTACACCCAGAAGCCTGATGCTCTGAAACCTGAAGCTATGCATGCATGCACTGAGGTTCAGTGGGCGTGAAGAGATCACCATCGTATAGTTTTCTCTCCCTGCACAAAGCCACAATTGGGAAGCTGACTATAGATTGGGGGACGCTGTCCCCACTTCTGTTGTGTTCTGACACCTTCTCTCTGCATCTCACAGATCCATCGTCTGCAGACCCTCCTGGCGAGTACTGACGCCTCAGGAAAGAAGTATGATCTCATGTGGGAACCTCTTGTGTCTTTGTGCTATCGAGGCCACTCTCAAAGTCGGGCAGCCCTTACCTGCCACTGGCTTGCTCTCCCTTTTCTGGGCAGCTGTGCAATGCTTACTGGAGGTGGCGGTGGGGATACATTCGTGTGTGTGTGTATATGAACATGTGTGCACGTGTGCAGACCACCAGTCAACATCAGGTGTCTTCATCCATTGATAGCTCTCCATGCTGTTTGCTGAAGCAGAGCCTCTCATGGAATCTGGAACCCCAAGTATCTCCTGTCTCCCAGTGCTGGGGTTACAGGCACGCACTGCCAGTAGCTCAAGGGCTCCAGTCCTCATAGTTGTAGAGTAGGTACTTAACCACTGAGCCCTCCACCCAGCCCCATAGCAGCTCCCAATCTAGAGCTGGAGAGCACTGGTTTTCAAAGCAGGCTCTGCCTTACTTGTTTGAAACAAGCTTTTTTGTTTGTTGTTTTGTTTTTGATGTTAAAGTTTTCCCAAGTTAAAGTATCTTTACTGTGTATATTGCACCTATCATTCCTAAAGGATACGATGCCAAAATGCCAACAATCCTAACACCTACACCAAGCAGCCTACAATGCCTGGAACTCCAGCTCCGGGGAATCTGATGCCTCTGACCTCCACAGGCACCTGCAGACAGATAGTGTGTGTGTTTGTGTGTGTGTGTGTGTGTGTGTGTGTGTGTGTGTCTATATCTGCCGATACAGCAGGCTTCTGTGTAAACTGCCAGCACCAGGTGTGGCTGTCCTTTTTCCCCTTTGCCCCCAGTCAGTAGCTAGAAGACCATATAAGAGCCATATAAGGCAGAGGAGGTAGCTCCATGGTAAAGCACTAGTCTGTTGTGTAAAACAAAGCCAGACATGTCTGCATTGCATGTGCACCTGTAATCCCAAGGCCGGCGGGGCAGGGGTCCAGGGGGCCAAGGGATTACACAGCAGAAAGATCAAATCCATGAGACTTGCTGGCTGCCAGCGTAGCTCCAGATTCATGGAGAGATCCTGTCTCAAGGGACTAAGGTAGAGAATGAAGGAACAGAACACCTGACGTCTTTCCTCTGACCCTTGCACACATGTACATACACTACACACACATATACACAAAGACCAGATAAGTGGAGTAGGTTCTGTTATTTGCAGGAAGTAAATATCCTGTGACGTTCCAGGGATTCTAAATTAGTAAATACTGAACCATTGGTCCTGGGCAGTGGATTCAGGCTTAGGTCCCTGTGTTCATTTGTTACATCTTCATCAAGAAAGATGCTGAGACTGGTGTTGTGTGTGCTTCTCTTAAAGACATGTAATATGTAGTATTGATTCACTATGTATAATACATAGTGATTTTCTAGTACCCAACCAGAGGCCAAAAGAGCTGCACCACAGCCTTTCGAACACCAGGGGGTGCTCAGCGCCCTGCTGTAGAACCATTTATTTTAGTGCCTTATTTATGTATGTATGTATTTAAATAAATACATGGTGGTCCTGAGAAAGGAACTTAGGGCCTCCCATGTGCTAGGTAAGCATTTCCCCAACTGAGCACTGAACTACATCCCCAACCCACTCCATGCCCACTTTATACACCAGCACAAAGTACAAACATAAAAAAAATAGAGGTGAGCCTGCTGACACACCCACATCACGGCAACACTCAGGAGGTGGAGGCAAGTGAATCCTGAGTTCCAGAACAACCTGGGATACATATGGAGACCCAGTCGCAAAAATGGAAAGCAGTGGGGATGTAACAGTTGGTAGAGCACTTGCCTGGCATTCCTGAGTCAGGAAGGAAGGAAGGGAGGGAGGGAGGGAGGGGAAGGAAGGAAGGAAGGAAGGAAGGAAGGAAGGAAGGAAGGATAGAATTGATTCTCTTACTGAAGTTACCATTTCACTACTGTGGGGGTTAGATTGTTAACATCAGAAGCCATTCTGACCTCAGAGCCTGGTAAGAAGCCAACCGTGTTCCTGTGAGATGTCTGTAAGTCAGTCCAGAAGTGCCACCCTCAGTGTGTCCCTTCCTTATCCCCAGGCCCATAATGGAGAAGAAGCTGGGTGTGAAAAGGCAAAAGAAGATGAGCAGCGCCCTGCTGAACTTGACCCGGAGCGTGCAGGAGCTGACAGAGGAGAACCAGAGCCTGAAGGAGGACCTGGACCGCATGCTGAGCAATTCCCCCACTGTCTCCAAAATAAAGGGTATCTGCCCACAGGCCACTCAGGGAGACACGAGGAGACGGGTCATGTCTTGTTCGGTAGTGGGCCCCATTCAAACATGGAGAACTTAGTCACAAGCCTCATAGCAGACATATCCCCTTACCTGTGCAAAAGGGCTTTGTTAGTAGGACAGGTGTTCTGGGGAGAGTCCAAGTAGCCGGGGCCCGTGGGACTGTGGATATGTAGGAAGAGATCTGGTTCTCGGGATCTTGAATGTGGGGCCTGCAAAAAACAAGAGGACTAGGGGAACTGCAGGCTCTGGGGCCATTGCTTTGTTTTGCAGCACTGAGGATGGAACCCAGGTCTAATATGGACTAGCGGAGAGCTCTCCATAGGCTCCAGGACTTTTTGTCTGAGCTGTGGAGGGGACAGAGTTGACATTTCGGGGAGGAGGAGAGGTTAGATGTGAGGCAGGTACCTGCCATGCTGGAGAACAGGATGTGCTACAGGTAGAGTCAAGTGACAGCTCCCTGCAAGATGGGCGCTGGAGAAGAGCAGAGCCGAGTCTTAAGCCTGAGGCATTTAGAAGGTTAGGTAATGAGGGCCAGCTAGTAACACATAGCCAGCAGTGGCCAGAGTGACCATGTGATAGCCAAGCCTTGAGTGTCTCATGTGTGAAGAGTGAGCTTAGCATTTGGAGTTTAGCAAAGTGAAAATCATTGGGCTAGGGATGTAGCTCAGTTGGAGAGTGCTTGCCTAGTGTACATGAAGCCCCAAGTTCGATCCCCATCATAACATAAACCAGGCATGATAGAGCATGCATCTCAGTACACAGGAGATGGAGGCAGAAAGATCAGAATTTCCTCAGTTATTATATAGTAAGTTCAAAGCCATCCTGGCTTATGTGAGATAAGAAACCCTCTGGTGACAAGCACCTGCCTCACTGGGATTTGTGACTTGGCTGTCAGTCTATGCAGTGGGAGGCTGAGTCCATGTCTGAGAAGAGTAGTCCTACTATAGGCCCCATGGGCACTGTCTTGTAAACCCTGTTGCCCTCCTTAGGTTATGTAGACTGGAGCAAGCCCCGGCTGCTGAGACGCATCGCAGAGTTGGAAAAGGTAAGTGCAGGGCTAATGTCTCATCAGGGTCTACCTGGGCCAAGGAGCAGCCCCTGTCTGTTTCAAGTGGGGATACAGGTTTGCAGAGTAACATAAGTCACTCAGCACATAGGAAGGGGTACTCAGCAGGCCTTACCAAGTACACAGGCAAGATGAACTCCTTGCAGGTCTGAGCAAGACTTGAGGTTGTGTCATTCACAGCCCTCATTTTACTGAGGGCCAGGCCCAAGAATCCATTACTGGGCTTCCTGTCGTCCCTCGGGTAGATGTGTATATGATCAAGAAGTGCCTATGGTCTAGCCTGATGTGTGCATACATCTCCAAATTCTAAACTTTTATATAATACTTGAATTCTTAGCAATCATTTCATCTACACTGCTGACCAGCAAACATGGGAGGCTAGCTAGCAGTTCCTCATCCCCCACCCTCACACCAGCCCCACAGAGGAGCCTGATGCTAGGGAACCTGTCCATCCTGTTAGGATCTTGAGATAGGATGCCAGAGATGTAACTTAGTGATACAGTGCTTACCCAGGCTCTAGGTAAGGGGCAAGGGCCATGTCTCAGTGATAGAGCACCTGCCTAAACCCCATAGTGAAAGACTGAGGGCATGGCTCAGTGCTAGAGCACCTGCTTAAAACCTGCTGTTGAAGGACAAGCTGTGCGACTTGGTACAGAACTTGCTTAGCCTAGGTTGTATCCCCAGAATTGAAAGAAAAGTTATGAACCAGAGTCCCCCAATTGTTTGGAAAAGCTGTGCAAAACCCAAAGAAGAATGTTTTAATTATAGGCACATACTGACAAATTAGTAGAAAAGTAGACAAAGTTGAAAATGAAGGAAATTTCTTTGTGGAAATGCTTTATAAGTAAAGCATGCTGGGTAATACAGGAAACCCAGGAACTCCAGAGACACGATAGGAAAGGCCTATCACTTTCAGAGCTGGACCAGTTTAACATCAAGCACAAGGGTTGGAAATACCCAAATTCCAATGTCTGCATCCTCCTTTCCTGCCTCCCTCCTTGGTGACCTTGGTGGTGTAATGTTGGTAGCTCTGACTGGGTCCTGCCTTTGGGCCTGGCCAGCTCTCTCCACTTTGGTTTTGGCTTCTGGGAAGGGAAGCTGCTGACTTGGCTCCCACAGCGAAGCTTCTTTCACACACTGGAGGTTAGCTGGCCCTGAGTCTGTCTCACGGAGGTAATATTAACAGATGCTTCATTGCCTCCAGAAAGTGAGTTCCGCAGAAAGCCCAAAGCCATCTGCTTCAGAGCTGGTCAAGCCGAATCCCCTGGTCAGCTCCTCCTCCAACATCTCGGTGCAAAAGCAGCCGAAAGGGGACCAGCCCAAAGAGGACCTGCCTAAAGAGGATTCATCTGAGGACCAGGAGCATCTCCGAGGAGCCCTGAAGGTCCTGAAAGGGGAGCGAAGCGTACTGCAGGCACAGCTGCTGGAGAAAGAGTAAGCATCTAGTTTGGAGGGGAGAAGTGCCCCACCTGTAAGAGTTAAGTGCATCCCCCGTTCACACCACTGAACACTCACATCACAGGTGGGGCAGTACTTACCTACAGTCTCAGCACTTGGAGGGGTATAGGCAGGAACATCACAAGTTCAAGGCCAGCCTCTGTGTCTTAGCTATTTTTAAATTGCTGCGATAAAACTGTAACCAAGGCCACTAGCCCTGCCTACTCTGAAAGCTGTTGAAGGGCCTCAGGCCCCGCCCACCTAGAAAGTTAGTATGGGAAGAAAGGCCTACCTGCAGCCCACCTGGGAAGTCCTGAGGACAGGTGCAAGCCTCGAGCCCCACCCACCTGAATGCTGGTTGAGAGTGCAGGCCTTGTCCCTGCCCACCCCCACCCCTTTCTACACACACATGCACTGTGCCCTGCTTGCCCAGGCCCTGATTGAGAGCTTAGGGTTTCAAACACTGCCCACCTTAGGGCCTGTCCTAGTGAGAGCTGGTTGGGAAATGCAGGGCCTTAGCTTCCACCCACTCATGAGCTGGCTAAGGATGCTAAACTTCTGGTCCCACTCAGGAGCTAACTGGGATTGAGGACCTTCCTTCTGCCCCTGACTGTCTAGGAACTGGATGGCCCCGCTCCCCCGCGGGGGGGGGGGGGGGGGTGGAGTGTTAGGATTGCAGCTTTTGAAGCCCTGTTCAGCTAGAGAGGTTAGGAATGGAGGCCCAAGGCCCTACCCTCTGAGAAGCTAGGTGGAGAAGCAGATTCTCACCAGGTATGTCATGCACCTGTAATCTCAACACTTGGGAGGCTGAGACTAGAGGATTTCAAGTATGATGTAAGCCTGGCTACAGAGTGAAACTCAAAAACCCGAGGTCTGAGAATGTAATTCAGTGGGACAGAACCTGACTAGCATGTGAGATGTATCATGGGAACGGTACTTGCCTAGCATGTGAGATGTAACAGTGGGTCAGAATTTACATAGCTTGAGTGCCAGTTTAAATTCAAGCCCTAGTGCCATGGAGTTGGGGAAAGGCAAAAAATGTAAAAGTTCAGGACTCCCAAACCCTGCAAATTGTGACCCATGTATAGAGCAGGGTCCTAGCTGCCTCGTGGCCTAGTTTTATATGAGAATTGATGGTGGGTCTCTTGTAAAAAATAGCATTTTGTGCAAAGATGTTTAAGTCATGATGGTGGGCCTGGCCTGAGAGCAGATAAAGGCACTTGCCACCAAGTCTGATGGCCTGAATTAGACCCTGGGACCCACATGCCAGGAGGAGAGGACCAGCTCCTGCAAGTTTCTCTCTGATCTCCACATGCGACACATGACACATGTGCAAGTGTGCGTGCACATATACATATGTATGAAAAGAATTTAAATTACATAGGTCATTTGGGAGTAACTTACTTCTGCATGTTCTATCAAGCTGCCATCAATACAAAACAAAACAATAAAAAAAAAAAAAAACTCAGTTTTCACTCCAAAGTGGCTAACAGTTTATTCTGTAGTTAGATGTGAGTGACTATAAGTTACCTCAAATACTGTGTTCCACTGTGGTGATATTTCATAAAGTTTTGAAAATAACAGAACAAAGTAAGTCCTAAGTCAGGGTGATTTAGAAAACACTGGTGAAAACCACAGGTAGGCAGGTAGAGCAGAGCCAGAGATCTCTGCTATGACTTCAGATGCTGTCTAAGGACATTCTTTTTTGTTTTTTTGAGACAGGGTTTCTCTGTATAACAGCTCTAACTGTCCTGGAACTTGTGTTTTGTAGACCAGGTTAGTCTCAAACTCACAGAGATCTACCTTCCTCTGCCTCCCTAGTGCTGGGACCACCACCACCCAGTGTGGGGACATTCTTAGCCTTTGGGTTGGCGGAAGCCAGTGGTCTGCTTGTACCTTCTGAAAGGAAAGGAAAAGTCACATGGGTGTTAGGTTAGATACAGAGGTGGGCAGAAATGGCTGTGTAGGACTAATGGGGTTCCAGCTAACTTGGCTTTGGACCTGTACCATTCCAACTCTGCACAATGATGTGTGTTCTAATTGGTCACCCTTGTAAAATGTTTAACATGGGGGGGGGGCAGAGGGATGTCTCCATGGCTTAGAACACTTGTTGCTTTTGCAGAGGACCCAGGTTCAATTCCCAGCACCCACACTGCAGTTCATAACTCCAGTTCCAGGGACTCTGACATGCTCTTCTGACCTTGCATGTGGTGTCCATACACGAGGCAAAACATTCATACACATAAAGTAAAACATCTTTTTAAAGTTTTCTTACTGTTTTTAGTTTTGGTTTTGGTTTTTAGACACAGGGTTTCTCTTTTAACAGCCCTAGCTGTCCTGGAACAAGCTCTATAGACCAAGCTGGCTTTGAACTCACAGTGGTCTGCTTGCCCCTGTATCTCAAGTACTTGGATTAAAGGCATGAGCCACCACCTCCCAGTTAGTTTTAACACACATGTGGGAACTACAGTTCATGATGTGAGGTGACAAGATAATTACTGCTTACAAAGCTCTTACTGTGTGATGGTCACCATGCTACACATTCAAGGAGGTCACTTATTGTGGAGGTTAGTAGGGACCTGGAGAAGTGGGGTCACCAGCACTAAGTGGTGGGCCTGAGTTTCAAAGAGAATGGTGTCATCCATATCTTGTTACAAACACCTGCCCTAGGGCTTGTCAGCTGGTCCTTCCTGGGTTCAGACTGCACTGCAGAAGGCACTGTGTCACTTAACTGTCCTTCTCTGTCATGCTGAGGTCTCTGTCTCAGGGCAGGATCTTACCTGCTTTTGCTCAAGTTAACTCCATTCTATGAAAGTCCCTCTACAGTGGTGTCTGCAGCAGTCAGCACCCTCAGATATGCTTTGGCACTGTCCCTTAGGACCAAGGGCTTGTCTAGATTCATTGTCTAAGGAAGGAGGCAGGGTCCCATGTCCATGAAGCATCCTTCAGTTATGCTAGCCTTAGATCTGGTGACCATGGCAATGTCTGCTTGTGTCTCTCAGTGAGGAGATGAATAAGCTGCTGCAGGCCAAGATGGACTTGGAGAAGGAGCTGGAGATGGCCAGAGAAGGCGAGAAGGAGAGACAGGAGCAGGAGCGGGCTTTGAGGTAAGAACACTTGAGTATTGAATAGTGTTTCTGGCTTTACACTTTTGTTTTATTTTGTTTGACCAGGATCTCACTGTGTAGTACAAACTGGCCTCAGTTTGCAACTTTGCAGCTTCAGCTACTCAATCGTTAGAACCACATTTGCTGAGATCACAAGTGTGTGTCCCCATACTTGAGTGCCCTGGGTTTGTGTGTGACAGGGTTTCATGTACCCAACTCTGGCTTTGAACTTATTGTAGCCAAAGATGACCTTGAACTTCTTACTCTCCTGCCTCCATCTTCCAAATGCCAAGATTACCAGCATGTGCTTCGCTGTTTATGTAGTACTGAAGTTGGGCCCCAGGACATCCCGAATGCTAGGCAAGCACTTTACCACAGACCCATTTTCCAACTCTGATGATATTTCAGGAATGGGGCTGGGCCTAGCATCCTCAGCCCTGCCCTTGAAGACTCTCAGAACACAGGTGACAATTTAGAAGCCCCTGCAGTGGTTACCAGAAGCCTGCTCCTGTAGTCTGTCCCCATGCAGCACTGCCCATATCCTGGATGACAGCTTTTCCCTACTAGATGATGACTAAGGGTCATCTTTTCCCCTTGTGCTTTAGAGAGAAAATTGAAGCACTCACCAGCAAGTGTCAAGAACTGGAAGAAGCTAAGAGACAAGAGAGAGACTTGACTGTAGCAGTCACCCAGGAGGTACCATGTGACTGTAGTGTTCCCTCGATTTTAGGCATGGGCGGGACTTGTCACCTTTGTCTTCAGGTACAACTTCTCCATTATCTACCATCTGTCACCTGCCCTAATGACCTCTGTAACCCCGATGATGATGTGTATAGATGCCTCAGGCTGGCCTTGGGTCTTAGACAGTTGGACAGGATAGGTGCAGCTCTGCAGAGGCAAGAAGACCAGAAAGGAAGGGAGGAGGAATAGCCCACTCCTAACCTGCATAGATGTGAGTTCCAGAACATACTGCCTGGCCAAGTATCTTTATGCAACTTCCCTGTCTCCCCTACCCCCGTATTTGTTTTGTCGGCTTTTTTAGGGCAGATTAGAACCCAGGGCTTTATATATCCTAGGCAGGTGTTCTACCACTGAACCTCACCCTAGCCCCTCACTGGGGAATTTTAGGCAGGCGCTTCCCCATTTTTGTCTAAACAGAAAGGTTTTAGCTTTAACATAGTAAGACTATATACAATAAGAACAATTATCAAGTAAGAATTATACTTATGGGCTGGAGAGGTGGCTCAGAGGTTAAGAGCACTGACTGCTCTGCCAGAGGTCCTGAGTTCAATTTCCAGCAACCACATGATGGCTCACAACCATCTGTTATGAGATCTGGTGCCCTCTTCTGGTGTGCAGATATACATGGAAGCAGAATGTTGTATACATAATAAATAAATAAATTCTTTTTACTATTAAAAAAAAAAAAAAGGAATTATAATACCCAGTCCAAGCCGGGCAGTGATGGCACACACCTTTAATCCCAGCACTCTGCAGGCAGAGGCAAGCAGATCTCTGAATTCAAGGCCAGCCTGGTCTACAAAGTTACACAGAGAAACCCTGTCTCAATAATAATAAGAAACCCTGTCTCAATAATAATAATAATAATAATAATAATAATAATAACCAGTCCATTTGCACTTGGCAAATTCAGAGAAAATACTCCATCTGTCCTATCTTGGTGAGGCCAAAGTTGTGTACCTGATTTACTGTCTATCCTAACTATATTACCAACCCCAAATTATCTTTTTAGACCTCAAAACATTTTCTTAAATAATTTAAAATTTTATGTTTCTCAACCTTACAAACTTTACGTCTCTTATGTGAGTTTCTTTTCTGAATTTGGTAACAAGAAAAACTATAACTATCTCATCTTTAACTCCATCAGAGACCCTAGAAGGATGTAATATTACCTGAGTAAACAGGAAGTGCAGAGCAAGTAATTTCCAAAACTACAGAAATGACAGAAGTAGCTGGCTGCCTGGACAGTAACCCAAGGTTCCTCTGCAACATTGGGGCATCCATCTTAGGCCCACAGGCCTAGAATATCTGACAGACCTTTCTGTGAAGCAGAAATTTCAAAGGACTGTCCCACCTTGTCTTGGCAAAGTTTAACAGTCTTTTTCCTTTGTGACCTGCTTGTCCAGTTTATACTGTATACTGTCAGCAGTTGAGGCAAGGACAGTTTCTTACCCCAATGGCTAGCCTTGCCACAAGGAAAGAGAACTCCATATGGAGGTTCCTTGATACCCATCATCCTTTTATGAAGCAGATTGGTGCTACCAGGAGCAGATGTGTCTCCCTGTCATGAAAAGCCTTAGGCTATTAAACATCTTAAATGCCATATCCTGTAGGTCTCTGAAGCATTTGAAGATCACTTATATCTAAAATGTATCTGTTTAACCTTGAAACATACCTAACATGAATACAAGTTTGATTGTTATAGATGCCAACTACTAACCTGTATTTCTTAATTATATGTTACATTTTAAAATAAGCTGCATAAGCATAATACCCCAAACAAGGGTAGAAACATACATACAGTATAACAAAAATAACTGTAAATTTGTATATATACCCAAATCCATACCAATGTAAAATACTTGAGGTTAATAGTTGTCCTTTTACTCTATGTTCCTATATCCCCCTAAGCAATGACAAACATCCAGAACCCACCAAATGACCAAAGACCACCCACACTACCTCTTGGAAATGTGGGTGTTATGTTCTCTAGACTGCTTCCTTTTGTGTGGGGGTGATAGCATCCCTGGGGGACCCTGAGAAAATTGAAATAATGGTCAAGCCATTAATGGTTATAACATTTGTTGTCCAGTCTCAAAACTGCCCCCATGCAGAGGGATCAGCATGTATGCCACCTGTTTTGTAGTTTTTCTTTCTATATGTCCATAGCCAAGATTTCCAGGAGGTCTCCTCCATCAAACCTGATCTCTGTTAACTTTGAACGAATCCACAGCCTTTCACTTCCTGTGGAAACAAAAGCAGAACCTCTCCCTGAATGCAATACATTTTCTGAATTCCATTTTCAAGTTAAGACATCTCTAAAGTATCTAGGCTGGTTTAATTTAGCAGTCCATTTTACAATCCAGTGTCTCTCAGCAGCAGTCATTCACTCATCAGCATTCAAAAAGTTCAAAGTTGCCAGGCAGTTGTGGGGCATGCCTTTAATCCCAGCACTCGGGAGGCAGAGGCAGGCAGATCTCTGTGAGTTCAAGACCAGCCTGGTCTATAAGAGCTAGTTCCAGGACAGCCTCCAAAGCTACAGAGAAACCCTGTCTTGAAAAACAAAAACAAAAAACAAAAACAAAAAAGTCAGCATAGCACCATATAGGATCCAGACTCCCTGTGACTTTCCCCCTTTATATTAATTTACTCTCTCTTTAAAGACTTTATTTTTAAAGTTTTTTTTTCTATGACTGTACACATTTTCTGTTCTTTCTTAACACCTACACACATTGTTTAATGCACTGGAACCTAATTAGAGGTTTTCTTCGGTCTGGACCTAACTTATTGTGCACCTGTAGTGTTCTCATGGGTTGCACTGGTGGACCGCTCTGCCCTGCTCAGGTCCGTGAGAGCTGAGTTTTAAGCCCAGTGGGCCTGGCTGAGAGTTGTGTTTAACCAGGACTGCATTTAACTGCCACAGCTCTGGGAAGTTGGTGCCCACCCTGTGGCAGGCATTTTTGACTTAGCTTGTTGTTTCTAATTAACATGCCAGCTGACCAAGTGTTTGCTGTATGGCAGAGCTGCGCCTCTGCCTCTGCCTCTGCCTCTGCCTCTGCCTGTTGAGAGCACCAGGCTACTAGGAAGCTGCATCAAGGGTTTGTGTGTGTGTGTGTGTGTGTGTGTGTGTGTGTGTGTGTGTGTATTTTTGTTTTGTTTTTTTCACCCCAGTTTCTCAGGTCCTATATGGAAATTCAGGCCCATGTTGGGCATGAAATGTAGTAGGCTTTCTTGGGCTGCCAGCCCCCAAATCATGACACAGAGACTTATTAATTATGAATGCTCAGCCTTAGCTTAGGCTTTGTCCCACTAGCTCTTTTAACTTAATTTAACCTGTTTCTATTCATCTACATTTTGCCTTGAGACTTTTTTTTTTTATCCTTTCATTCTGTATGTCCTGCTTTCCTGCTTCCTCCGTGTCTGACTGTCTGGCCCCCGGTGTCATAGAGTCTCTTTTTCTTTCTTCCCCCAACCCAAATTCCTCCTCCTCCTTACTCTACCTATCCGGAAGTCCCACCTATACTTCCTCCCTCACTATTGTCCATTCAACTTTTTTTATTCCATTGGGTATCTTAGACAGTTAAGGTAAAACAGTAACACATCTTTACATAATTAAATAAATCCACCACATTTTTACATAGTTAAACAGTTATTCTGAAACATAAATGCAACACATCTTTGCATGGTTAAACAAATATTATGCAGCAGGTGCTCTACCACTGAGCTACACCCCAGCCCCTCACTGAAGAATTGTAGACTGGTGCTCTACCACTGAGCTACAGTTCATCCCCTCACTGAGGGATTGTAGACAGTGCCCTCCCTATCACTGAACCACACCGCAGCCCCTCACTGGGCTCAGGTGCTATAGTCAGGTGCTCTACCACCAAACTATATTCTTAGCCTTCTTATTATGTTTTATTTTGAGACAGGGACTTACCAAGTTACCTAAGCTGGCCTTGAATTTATAATCCTCCTGCCTTGGCTTCTTGAATGCTGGGATTACAGGCCTCTGACATCAGGTCTCTGTTCTTTTTTTTTTTTTTTTTTTTTTTTTTTTTTTTTTGAAAGTCTCAGGACTTTCTATCACTTGAGGGGAGGCTTTGTCATTGTAAAGGTCAGCTGGGTATTCTCCAACTCCAAACGTCTTCAAGAGGCCCCCTGGTCTCTGTTCTCCAGGCTGTTGACACCATTTCCAAGAACTAGAATGTACCCCATTTCTAATCTGTCCTGTGTGTCACACCTGACACAAGCACAGGTGGAAACTAGTACCTTGGAGGCTAAACTTCTATGCTGCTCTTTGCTCCAGGAGTTCCTGATATGTAAATGCATAATAAACCTTCATGGGCCATACATGGTGGTGCAAGCCTATGATCCCAACTCACAAGGCAGAGGCAGTAGGATTCAGAGTTCAAGGCCAGCCTCAGGGGCTTGAGAGATGCCTCCCAGCCCCAGGGATCTGCCTGTCTCTGCCTCTCCGGTGCTGAGATTACAAGCACACACCACCACACCCAGCTTTTTACATGGATGCCAAGGAGCAGGCCTCATGCTTGTACAGCAAGCATTCTTCTGATTGCGCCATCTCCCCAACCTTGAACCTTCATTTTGGCATGAGGAAAGAATATTCCAGTAATGTGAATTTTATTGAGAGGAACCCTGGTGGGTAGATTTCAAGAGCACTACCTAGAAGCCTGCGGCATTTCAATGGTTCAGTTCTTCTTCCTGCCAAAAATCACCCTGGAAATATCTCCACTTCAATCTCCCAAATCCCACTTTTATCATACCGAATCAATCTTTAAAAAGAGCCCAAAATAAGACTGCCACTGCACCGGGCTCAGACTTTGTTTTATTAAGTCTACTGTCTGATGAGCAAGGCCTGTAATATCCTGGTTAATATCCTGTCTGCTGCCCGCTGCTGACATCACTGATGCCACTGACCCCCTTTCATTTCCTGCAGGCCCCCCCAGAGCTCCATGCACCATCACCCTGCAGCGATCACTCCAAGCCAGACTCTGACAATGAGCCCAGTGAGCACAACAGTGACAGCCAGGAGGCTGAATCCCAGCCACCCACCCCGTGCTCCGAAGAGAGGAGGGATGCTGCCATCAGAATTCTGCAGGCCCAGTGGAAGGCCCACAGACACAAGGTGAGCTTCCTGGTCCCACGTGCAGCTGCAGAGAACATGTGTGTGTGCGTGTTCCATTACTCAGTGTGCTTTGCATGTCCACTCAGCACACTCACCCACCCCAGCACCGCCAGTCATCCATGGGTGCATAGAGTGGGATGGCTCACAGAAGGTGGGGCTGTAAGCACTGGCCCCTTGAAAGGAGAGGTGATTTATTCCTGCAATCCTAGTACCAAAGAGGATCAGGAGTTCAAGGTCAGCCTAAGCCACAGGACACCATCTCTAAAACCAAACTAGTAACGGTCAAGAGACCTAGCTCCAGCCATCTTGGATGGCCACAGGACTTTGTTTCCATCAATTATCAGTCAGTTTCCCTGGCATAAGTACCAATTGCTCAGCATTGGGCATGGACCCAGGTGCTCCTGAGTGAAAGGCAAGCAAGCTTCCTTTTCTAGGTTGTACCGGTTTCAGAGAAAGGAAGGAGCCCCTCCCTGCCTCCTCTATCCCTCATGGGAAATGAGTTAATATGGGCTCAGATTCTTTTATTTATTGAAGCATTTTAAAAGTTAATTGCAATCATTATTCTCATATTGTCCCAAATATGGTCATGAGAACCCCTTTGTTCTGGCCTTCGTGGCTGTCATCTTATTGAACACATCATTGATTTCTGGCCAAAGAAGGTTCCCAGGCCACCTGTGTCTTAGAAGCAACTTGCCTACTGTGCCCCTTCAGCCCTTGGTGGCTATTGCAGACAGAGGAGTAGAAACTGGTGTAGATGTAGGAGAGGCTGGGAGTGGGAGTGAACATCAAAGTGCGTGATGAACGAAAACATCACAGAGCCCATCACTGTATAGCGAGACACTTTTCTTGTTGCCTTATCAAAGCTGTCAACCAGAAGCAACTTCAAGGACAGAAGGGCAGATTTGGGCTCACGATTTGTGTCAGTCATGTCATGGCACCAGGAGTTTAAGGCAACTGGTCACATGTCCACAGTCAGGCAGCAGAGAGACATAACTCCATGCTTAGTCCATTCTGCTTTCCATGCAGTTCAGGGCCTCAGCCCATGGCATGGCACAATCCACAATTAAGGTGGGTTTTCCCACCCAGTTAACTCAATCTAGAAAGCCTCTAACATACACACCCAAAGGTGTGTTTCCATGGTGATTCTAAATCCAGTCAGTTGACAATGAAGGTTAACCGTCACATATATTAAGGAGAATATTCTTTTAAGGAATGGAAACCTCTGTCGAGACTTCACATTAATTCATTTCTCAATTTCCTTATTTTAGAAAAGAAAAGCTGCTTTGGATGAGGTAAGCCAAGTCAATTTCACCAGTTTCCAAACACCTCTTTTTACTGTGGTGTAAAATAACCTAGGAGTAGTGGGGAAGAGGGGCATGGTGGCTGACGTGTTGGGGGAAGTGGTATATGCACTGTGTAAGGGATCCCAATAGTGCGTGCAGGTCAGAGGAGGGTGGGAGCTGCTCTGCCACTCTAGGCCTTATTTCTTCAAGACAGGGTTCACCACTGAAGCTAGACTGGCTAAGACTGTATCTGTCTCTCATGTGCTGGTTGACTAGCACGTGTGACCACACCTGACTTTATGGAGATGTGGGGGATTCAAATGGTGTTCTGCCTGCATGTATCCCTGCAGGCCATAAGAAGGCACCAGATCTCATTACAGATAGTTGTGAGCCACCATGTGGTTGCTGGGAATTGAACTCAGGACTTCTGGAGGAGCAGCCAATGTTCTTTTTTTGTTTTGTTTTGTTTTGTTTTGTTTTGTTTTTCGAGACAGGGTTTCTCTGTGTAGCTTTGGAGCCTATCCTGGCACTCGCTCTGGAGACCAGGCTGGCCTCAAACTCATAGAGATCCTGCCTCTGCCTCCCGAGTGCTGGTATTAAAGGCCACCACCACCAACACCCGGCCCAGCAGCCAATGTTCTTAACTGCTGAGCCATCTCTCCAGCCCAGCCAAGGGGTATTTAAAGGCATTTCCTTAAGTCCTGATTTTTGGGAAATGAATTCAAACTCATACACAAAGTTTAAAACATACAAATAACAGAAGCATAAAATGAACTCCTGAATAACGTCACATTTTAAAAATTCACTCACACACACATTGCTTCACTCTTATTTTCAGTTTGGAGTTGAGCAATCCCATGTGCTCAGCTACAGATGCAAGGACACATGCTGTAAAGCAGGGAGAACTGAGGTAGTTTGAGGACTAGAGCTGCCATCCTGCAACCCAGTTGTCCCCGTGGGATACATGGGGAAGGACAGTAGGGTTTGTCCCAACAGGAGAGCTGGCGGGAAGAAGTAGTAGCTTCTGGTGGCTGCAAGAGTGGAATAAGAGACTAGTATTTGTTATTGGGGCTTCCTCTGTGCTAGATGTGGCTGTACCACTGAGCCACACCACCAGCCCCAGGGGAGATCATCTGCCTAGAATCCCCCAGTGAGGGGCTGGGGTGTGGCTCAGTAGTAGAGCACCTGCCTAGAATCCCCCAGTGAGGGGCTGGGGTGTGGCTCAGTAGTAGAGCACCTGCCTAGAATCCCCCAGTGAGGGGCTGGGGTGTGGCTCAGTGGTAGAATATCCAACATGCACAAGGCTCTGGGTTCAGCCGCCAGCACTTAAAAACAGAAAAAGATTTCTCTGTAGCGTTTGTGACTGGAGGATATATGTGAAAGAAAGTAGATGAAACAGATCAGTCCTGCTGTGAAGACATACCTTTGTGTGAAGTCTGGAAGGCAGGCATTGTGGTATACACCTGTAATCTCAGCACATAGGAAGCAAAGCAGAAAGTTCAGCACACATTTGAGGCTTTCCCCAGCTCTGTAGCAAGACCCTGACTCAGGGTGTGAAGTCTGAACTAATATTAGCAGCTGATTTGACTGTGTTCAGGACTGGTCTGCTGTGGTAGTCAGCATGCTCCTTCCTGTCCCTGTGGGGCGGCACATGTGCACATGCCAGCATGTGGGTTAGAAGGAGGCTGAGGGGAGGCACTGTGACATGCCCCTGAGTTACACAGCAGGGAGAGGATTTTTCTCAAATCCCCTTTAATCTCCACCCTGCACCATCTTCTAGAAACTGGGTCCTTCCCTCTTTCCTGCCAGGCAGCAACTGTGCTCCAGGCGGCCTTCAGAGGACACCTAGCTCGTTCGAGGCTGTTACGAAGCAAAGCCCCAGCCTCCAGGTCTCCCAGCCTGCTGGACCTTCCCAGCATTCCCACCGAGGTAACCATCTGACTGGAAGGACACCAGCTGCTTGACCCCTTCTCAGCCCCTTACCCTTTATTAGCAGAGGAATCTCAAGCCCCTTGCAGCCTTCTAGTCTTCCTGGCTGGGCAGATGTGCCTGGTGTTCCACCCATCCCATGCCAGGGACAGCCTAGCAATGGCCCCTTTGACACATCCTGGGCTGGTTTAGCCTTGATGTGTGGAAGGAGCAGGCCTTACAGTGGCTCCAGTGGCTGTTGGGGAGCATTGTTGGTGCAGTTTGAAAGCCCCTATCCTGCCTGCCCCAGATACTTGCATGCCACATTGGGAGACAGCAGGATGGCTCCAGATGGGTCTCTCTCCTGTTGTCATTAGCTGCAGAGGTCTCCCACCCCCCGAGTCCCAAGCCCCATCTCCCCGCCTGAAGACAGCCCAGAACAAGAGGAGGCCATCACTGTCATCCAGTCCATCCTCCGGGGATACCTGGCCCAGGCCAGGTTCATGTGAGTGGGGCCACAGGCACCTCTGTGCTGTATTACTTTTGGGGTGCAGAGGGCACCCATTTTGGGGCTAGCCAGGGCTCCAGTGAGATTTGTAATGATGTGTTGTTATGATGCTTGCCATGTGATCCATGGTCTGACAGTCACCATAGCAAGTGATAGGCCTTTAAGGATATCCTAGTTTCACTTCGGATATCGGGTAGGCTGTAGGCTCTTGCCCTCTGGAGAAGACCTTCCTAGAACATGCCTCCATGATGGGGAAGCAAGGAGGTGTGTGAACACTGGGTGGAATAGGGCCCCGTAGTGTGTGGGCATTGTGGCATTGTGGGTTTGAGCTCACCTTCTGTCTCATTTTAAAGAAAGATGTAGCTGGGCACAGTGGTACACACCTGTAATGCCAGCACTCAGGAGGAAGCTGAGGCAAGATGATCTTTGTGACTTCAAGGCCAGCCTGGTCTACAAATCGAGTTCCAGGAAGCAGGGCCTTGAAGACATGAACCAAGGGCATAGGCTCTTGGGGGCAACTTGTCAAGGCCCTAGGCACACTTGCACGGTGTTTCACCAGTGGAAGTAGCTGCTGCCACATGGATCAGAGTGTTGTGGCAGGCAGGCCAGGATGGTCTGTGTTCTCCAGCCCCTGGCTCAGCCAGAGCTTTCTGTCTTCCAGTGCCAACTGCTGCAGAGGGATCGCAGCATCTCAGAAGGGAGCTGTCTCAGCCATGCCTTCAGAATCCACCTCCCCACCCTCCCTAGCAGCTTCTCCTGGTAATTTCATTCAGTTGGTTCTGCCACAAGGGGGAGGTGGCCCTCCAAAGGTTAAGCCAAAAGAAGGCTGGGTAAGAATGCAAGGGGCTTGTCCCCACTGTTCATACCTATGCCAGAAGACCAGAGACTCCCCCTCCTGAACTGCTGAGGCTCCAGCTGGGGTTCGGGCCTGTAGACTGCATCGGGGATGGCAGTGGCATGGTACCTGCATCCTCAGGTACCCCCAAGCCATGCAGTCAAAGCTTTCCTGGCTTTTGTTTCTTCAGCCGTCAGCCTTCAGGGCTCCTTGGGTGGGGGTTTCTCCTGATTGCTAGTTTAGGATAACACTGCTTACATTAGTTTTTTTCTGCTCCATTGATGCCACAAAGCTGATTGAGGATGTAGCATAGTGGTAGAGCACTTCAAGCATGTGTGAGGCCCTGGTTCCATTGAAGACAACAACAAGCTAGGCATGGTGGTGCATGCCTTTAGTCCAAGCTCTCGGGGAGGCAGAAGCAGGCAGATCTCTGTAAGTTCCAGGTCAGCCAGGCCTACAAAGTGTGTTCCTGGACAGCCAGGGCTACACAGAGAAACCCTGTCTCTAAAATAAAATAATTAAAAAATGTTTTTAAAAAAAAAAAGAAAGAAAAAGAAAACAACAAGCATTGGGTAAAGAAGTCCCAGGCTGTCTTAGGGGGATTACTCAGTTGATAAAGGAACTGTGTTTAATTCCCAGGCCCCACATTGAAAAACTCCTGGGCATGGCAACATGTGTTTGTTATGTCAGTGTTGGAGAGGTAGAGACTAGAAGTCCCTGGGGCTTACTGGCCAGCCAGCCTAGCCAGATCATCAAGTTCATGACCAGTAAGAGACCCTGTCTCAAAAAATAAAAGGCAAAATTAACAGCACCTGAGAAACGATACCTAAGATTAACTCTGGCTTCTACCTACACACGAACACATGCCCGCACACACACCACATAAAAATCAAGTTCAGAATGCAGGCAGACTCTGTCCCCAGCTATGACATCTGTCCCCCACCAACATGTAGTCCTAAAGCACTGGCTTAGTGTGGCTGGCATTCATGAGAATGAGTAAGGAGATTGCTAGGGACTTGGGTCATGTTAGATACAGAAGTTGAGCTGAGATTCTGTGCATGCATGTGACACCCCAGGGAGCTGAGTCACCTGATGCTTCCCAGGCATCTGAACCGCTGGGTGTCAGAGGTAGAACTAAGAAAGGCTGACAAGGTCAGAGAAGTGCCAGGACAGGAGGGTGGGTGGCTGCTGGGACAGTAGGTGGCATGCCTTATACAGAGTGGGGCCCTTCAGGGAAAGTCAGCGAGGAGGGCTGTGGGGAGGCTGCCGAGGCCAAAGATGAGGCAGAAGAGACAGCAACTTTGCAGCCCTATTCAGGTAAATGTGTGGCAGTGTTAGCCAGGGTAGCACCTTCCCCAGCAGTCAACTCTGACAGCAGAAGAGGCACGCAATGAAGACAAGGCCGTGTCTTTCACTCCAACCTCACCCAGACACCATGGCTGGCCTGCTTTCTCAAGTAGCTTTCCCTACTGCTTTTGTTTTTCTTGAGGTTCTTGAGATGGAACCCGGGGCTTTGCACATGCTAGAGAAGTGATCTGCTGAGCCACACTCCAGCCCCTCACTGGGGGATTCTAGGCAGGTGCTCTACCACGGAGCCACACTCCAGCCCCTTCCTAGGGGATTCTAGGTAGGGACTCTACCACTGAACCACACCCAAGTCATACAGTAAAGGGTACTCTACCGATTACACATTCTGAGTCCTTCATGAGGTGGAGTTGGTTAGGTGGTAGACTCTATACATCTGAGCCATATTCCCAGCCCTTATCTGGTTCTGATTGTATTAGTCACTCCCCTTCAGTTCCATAAGGAGCCTGTTTAGGAGACGCCCCTGCCACACCATATTTAACGTGTTGTCACATTTGAAAGTCTTACATCCATTCAGCTGTCAACTTTCCAAGCTGTGTCAGAGCTACAAAACTATGAGCTTTGCTGTTCTCTCCAAACCCTTGCCTACAAAGCACAGTGAGCCAAGACAGAAGCCCTGAGATTTTAGAGAAGGCAAGCACACAGACAGACACTGGAACCCCAAAGCCACCGCCAGCCTGCAATCCCCAGGTCCCCAGAGGCTTTATACTGTTCTCCAAAACAGCTGTCTGTGCTGATCTCACCAGGTCCATGTCTGCTGACCTTTAAATTATTTGGTCAGGGCTGAAAAGTTTGTTTATGCTGCCCTTTCATCCTCTTGTCAAATGTAATTTTAAAGTGGCAGATTTGTCCACCTGTGTAGACTGACCAGCAAAATCCACTGCTCAACAGGTGCTGACCCCCAGGATATGTGTCCACATGAGGAAAGTGAACGACACCCTTGTCTGAGCTGATTGGGTTGGGGTGTTCATTCGTTGGTTGGTTATTGAGACAGGTTCTCACTCATAGCCCAGGGTGGCCTTTGCCTGGCAGTCTTCCTGCCTCTGTGTCCCACATGCTGCGATTACAGACATCACAGCCACACCCAGGCCTTGACTGCTTTTAAAGAAAACTGAAGGTAGAGGATCCTGCCTTCAGTCCCAGCAAAGGCAAGCAGATAACTGTTCAGCCACATAATGACTTTGAGGCTAGCCTGAGTTATGTGAGACTGTCTCATAAAAGGAAGGAAGGGGCTTGGAAAGATGGCTTACTGGTTAAGAGCAGTGGCTGCTCTTGCTGAGGGCCTGGGTTCAGTTCTCAGCATCCACATGACGGCTCACAACTGTCTGTAACTCCAGCAGTGTCCCCTGCTGGCTTCTATAGACTCTGCACACATTAGGTGCACAGGTGTACATGAAGGCAAAACACCTATACACATAAAATGACTTTTTTTTTTTTTAAGAAGAGAGGGGAGAGAAGAAGGAAGGAGGAAGAAAAGGAAAACAAAAATAAAACCTAGTGTCATAGGCTAAAATCCCAGGAATCTAGAAGCTGAGGCAGGAGGATGATAGGTTAAAGCTAGCCAAAGGTACCTGGCAAGACCCTATCTCAAAAACAAACAGAAAAACAGCTAGGGAGAAAAAATGATCCAGGGAAGTGTGCCAATGGGTGGAGCACTTGTGCAAAAGCATGAGGTCCTGAGTTCAGATCCCCAGCACCCATTTGAAGGCAGGCGCAGTTCTGTGCATCTGCAATCCCAGAACTTGAGTGAGGAGATGGGGCGTGGGGTATACAGCATCCAACCACAGAAAGACCCTGCCTCAGACAGGGTGGAAGCTGAGGACCCCCACCTGAGGTTGTTCTTGGACCTCCACGTCTGCAGCATGGTGCACAGGTGTCTTCACACACAGCAGTTATGAGATGCAACTAAAGAAAACAAGGTTGGGGGCAGGCATTAAGTTTCCCGAGGTTGCAGTTTATATGAACTGTGGTGGAGCTGTAAAGAAGAGGCAGACAGCCATATCGTGTTTCATGGTGGGGTCAGAACCTTCTTGTTCTTTTTAAATTGCAAATCGGTAACCTTTCATTTCTCCCTCATCTTTAGGAGCAATAAGAGTGGGGCTCTCTCCCAAGGAGGAGCTGAGAGAGACCGCTGCAATTGAACCTGCCCCCTCTCGACCCTCTGTCCCCAACTCCCCCCAGAGTGGCCATTGGGACTCTCCACCCCCTTGTGACCTAGAGGCTGTGCCTCAGTCCAGTGTGAAGGATGTGATATGCTTGGATGTGTGTGACGAAAGGAGCAGCAGTGCCGCAAGTACTCAGCCATCCCTGGGTACGTCCCCTCTGTCCCCTCCGTTCTCTGTCTCATCCCAGCTTCTTACCAGACAGGGCAGGCAATCCAGGGGGCCACTACAGCCAGGACCCACTTATACACAGTAGCTACTCAGTTCTGATTCCCTTTGTGTGTTTTTGTTTTCTGAGCCACTCTTGCTGTGTCGTCCAGGCTGACCTCAAACTCACTGTATAGCCCAGTGTAGCCTCAAATTTGTGATCCTTCTCCTCCTCTTCCTCCATCAGCTTCCCAAGTGCTGGGATCACAGGTGTGCACCACCTGCAAGTATTTTAGCATCAGCAGCTGCCAAGCTAGCACAAGAGTGGGAGCTAGTGAGAGGCTCTGTAGTGTGTATAGGTGGGCTCTGAAAGTGGGCCCTGGGCTGCGTGGGTGGCTTCAGTCTTTTATCAGGAAAAGTTGATGACCGTGTGTATAGCTCACAGCTGTCTACACCCTGTGACTGACTTCCACGTGGTTGACCTCTCTCTCTCTCTCTCTCTCTCTCTCTCTCTCTCTCTCTCTCTCTCTCTGATTCATTTTAGTGGCGTCTTCTCCAGGACTGCCGCCCATGTCACCACCCCCAGTAGAGGATGTCTGCTCTGATGATTCGGATGACATTATCTTTTCACCATTTCTGCCCAGGAAGAAAAGCCCCTCCCCATTCTAGGACCCCAGTCATTGCCTCCGGGTGAGGTGGCTGTGGGGACAGGTTAGAGGACTCACTAACTGAATTTGAGACGATGACCTATCTTGCTAGGGAAAGAGCCCTGCCTCGGGAACACCTCAGCCATCGGTTTTCTTATGTGTTGTGCCTGTGCCTTTGAGGGATCCTGGTGGCTCTATACTGCTCACTGGGGAGGGCGGGCGGCCGCCTGCCACTTCCATCTCTGGTTGCATCTCATGTATTTCCAGTGCCCACAGATATGTGTACTCCAAGTCAGGGCAGCAGGGAGTCCTGCAGAGATGAGAACTCTTGCAAAGTCTACCACCTGCCCTTGACCTTGGCACTGTCAGCTGCCATTGAGATACAGCCTTCCTCATCCTTTGCTGCCCAGTGCCTTACAGGTCACACAACTAAGTCTCCAGGCCCCACAGCAGAATGCAGTCATATCAAAGCCAACAATAAGCTATGGACATCAGGGTCCCCAACCAAGCCCCTGTCCCATGGGCTCCTTGTTCCCCTTTCTGTTATCCCCCATCACCTCCATCCCTCCTGGGAGAATGAACTCTTGGAAGAGCACCAGGCAGTGAGTGGCACAGCAGCTATTGAGAGGCAGCAAGAGGACAGATCCACAGGTCACCCAGAGTCAAGGCGGAGACCAGGGCCAGGAGGCAGCCCACCATCCCAGAGGAGATAAGTCTCAGGGAAGAACAAATTCCAATGTAGACCTAGGGACAGCCCTGTCAGCTGGGTATGCTGAAGTATCTGCAGGCCACCAATGCCACCTGGCCCACTCAGCAGCCAGTAGCTTGAGATGTTGTTTGTCCCTGGTTTGTGAACTTAGCCGCTGTCAGTGGGTGAGAATGAGGGGCTTTGGACTTAGACAGGATTTTAGGGGTATCCAGGCTCCATGTACCCCAGGTCTGCTGCCAGGGTGCCTGTGGGACTGGCTACCAGCAGTATCCATAAATCATTGGGGATGGGACTTCCTGGCTCCATGGGACTGGCTTTTGTCTTAGGAGAGACCTAATGCTGGAAGGTTCCTGCTTAGACTAGACTAGTAGGGACATCAAGAGACTTGCTCTTAGGGACCATTTAATCCTAGTCATCCTCCACAGCATGCACACAGCAGACTGGGCATGAGAACCTCAGGATGGGAACTAGGCTTGACAGCCAGAGGCCAGGAAGAGGGAGCCCAACTTTGTCCACCTGCCCAGGGGAGGTATAAGTAAATGCCCCTAATACTATGATGGGACCAGGCACAGCTGCCTAGCCCTTTTCTCCACCAGGGGGCAAAAAACAACTCAGCCAGGACCCTGCTGGCTCAGTTTTGGTTTTTTTTTTTTTTATTATTTTTTTTTGTTTTGTTTTTGTTTTTATACACTTGGCCTGTGGGCTGTCTGCCAAGTTAGTTTTCTTCCCCTTGAACTGATGGTAATTTTACCAAATGACAGCCGACTGGAACCCTCTGTAGATGTATCTGCCTCCCTACCACAACTTGGGTGTGTTCCTTGTGATTAATGCCACCACTTGAAGAACTTGAGGCCCAAGAAGGTGGCTGTGGGTGGCTCTCAGTGCCAGGGGTCCGTATATGGCCACTCTGTCCCCTCTTATTTAACACTAGCCATTTGTGCATTGAGTGTTCTGAGAGTGAACAGTCAGGAGTTCTAGGTTGGTGAGGCATTTGGGGTGGGTGTGTTCACCTTGGCTGCCCCGACCTCAGGAAAGGGAGCAGGGCCTGTACATCTGAGGCTGACCTGTGCACCCAGCCTGGCCAGTGAGCAGTGAGGTCAAAATGGGCCCCTGCACTTGAGTTTTCTGAGAACAAGCCCCTGAAAACAGAAGAGCTATATACCACCTGACCTTTGGTGCAGCCGCTAATCTATTAAAGGTAAACCTGTCTTGAAGCTACCTCAGTGAAAGATGGTGTCTCAGGTCTCTGTCTTTGGCAGCTGTCCGGTGTCCTGTGCTCCCCACCCAGCCCCATTGCTACAGCAGACTGCCCCTGGCTGATCTGAAACAGAGTGTACCTGGGTGGGGGGTAACCCATCTGGGACCTAGGGACAGTACACAGAGCTCCTGCTGGCTTCTCCAGGAGCCAATGTAGGGGCTGGGAGTCTGGCCAGTCAGTACAGCTTTGAACTTCACCTGATCTTTAAGATAGACTCCTTGTGTTTGGCTTGGTTTCAGAGGTACAAGTCCCACAGCACCTGTAAGCCTTGTAGGGCCATGGAAAAGCCAAAACTACAGAAACTGTGGGCAAGGTGAGCTGTAGGCCAATCACCAGAGGCTGTGGGCTGGGCCAGCCCTGCTGAGTATGATTGGTCCAGGACCCAGCCAGTTGTGGTCTGTGGACTGTAAGTGGGGCATGGGGAAGCAGCAAAATCCAGCCCTGGGGGAGGACCTCAGAACTCTGCACTCAGGACCAGGGGCACCCAGGTCTGTGCACTTGAGATGGGTAAATGACGTCACTGTGCCCTTATTTCCATGGAACACCTCCACATCACCTTGAGCTTAAAAAGCAGCTGTAGGCTGCTAGGTTGTCCAACTTCAGAAGAACCCATGCTTTCTTCATGACCACTCTGACAGGAAAAGTTAGAATATGACTCCACCCCATGGGCGGCAAGCAACCTGCTGACGCTGCCCTGCTGCAGTCAACCTGTGTGGAGAGCTGTAAGGTGAGGGTGCCATTCACACCAAGGAGGTGCTGGCTAGAGGCCTTGGGTAGCTTTGGAGAGTGCACTGGGCTTGGGACACAGTGCTTGCAGGGGGACCCTGTGAGATGGTGTTCCTCTTACCCATGCTTTGGAGGAGAAGATGCCTCCAGGTCAATAGCCAAGCACAGACTGGGGTGACTGTCCTGAAGGTGCCATCCCAGTGAAAAAGCAAGATCCAGGGAACACCAGGGCCCTCTGTTGGCCTTGGTTCACCTCCACCCACCAGATGGAGCTGAGAAGCAAGTGCTGAGATGGGGGCTGGCACAAGCCAGGCTTCCCAAAACTAGCAAAAACAGGTGTGGATGGGGAGCAAGTGTGTAGTGAGCGGAAGCAGACTATAGTGAGCTTTTGTATGGCACTAGGGGGGACCCTAGGCTCTGGAGGGAACGAGGCAAGTGTTCCACCACTGAGCCACACCACCAGCCCCTGCGGTGCATTCTTGATGCAGTGTTATCACAGGGGCATGCAGCATTGAAAGAGGGCTTGGTCAGAAGCCACCAAGACCACAGTCCCTCTAAACCTGATAGCTGAGCAGAAATTGCCAAGGTTTTAGAAAGTCCCATAGTACATTGGGAGCTTTTTGTGGGTCCACTCTGGCACCAAGGAAGGACTATGGCTGACTGACCCTGACTGCAGGTGCTGGCCGTTATTGTCTGATAAATGTCTATTTTTGTCTCCCGAAGAAGGGAGGGAGAACCATGCCTTCAGTCTCACAGACCCAGAACCCTCTTTATGAAGAGACCAATCATTAGAAAAAGAATGAAATAATAGCAGAGTAGATTCCTTTCTAGCTATAAATACCTTCCTGGGAAAGCACCCTAACCTTTGAGATCTAAATAAAAATTCCATTATATCCCGGTCAAACTAATTGCAAATTCCTCCTTGGAGAGGAAAGCTCCCACGTGGTTCAGACACTCTGAGGACCAGAGCAACTCAGCAAACAGCTGGTGTGGACCCAGTCTGGCCCTTTCTCCAAGCTCCCACCTCCACCGGGTTCACGGGGCCTGCATATAGCAGACCCTCTCTAACTGACTAACCTTTCTGGTGCAGGCCACAGCAGGGCAAGCCCCTGTTAAAATGAGAGAAATTACATCTAGAAGCTGGGAAATAAAACTCAAAATGGCTCAGAGCAGGAGTGGATCCCTGGCTTTTTGGTCTTAATGTTTTTCTCTCTCCCTCTTTAAACAGGGCTTCACTGTGTAGCTCTGGCTGGCATGAGATTAAAGGCATGAACCACCACACCCAGCTTTTTTTTAAAAAAATGTAATTTAGGGCCAGCAAGATGGCTTAGTAGATAAAGGCACTTGATGCCAAGTCTAGCAACCTGAGTTCAATCTTCAGGACCCACATGGTAGAAGGAGAGCCAGAATCCACAGGTTGTCCTCAGATATCATGGTGTGTGTGTGTGTGTGTGTGTGTGTGTGTGTGTGTATCCAAATATGTATATATATCCAAATTGTAATGAAAATGTTTAAATATTTGTATATATGTATATGCTTGTTTGTGTTTGTGTGGATGTTCAGGTGTGTGTGCCAGAGGTCAATGTTCAGTGTCTTCAATTCCCACCCTTTTTATGTGTAATTTTTTTAAGATTTAAGTGTATGAGTGTTTTGCTTGCATGTGTAAGTCTGTGCACATGGTACCATAGGAGGTCAGAAGAAGGCATCAGATCTCCTGGAACTGGAGATCTGTGAACCACCATGTGGGTACTGGGAATTGAATCTGGGTCCTCTGCAAGAACAAGAAGTGCCCATAATTTCTGAGCCATCCATCTCTTCAGTTCCCCTGGATCCATTGAGACAGGGTCTTTCACTGACCTGGACCTCTTTGATTCAGCTAGGCTGGCTAACCTGCTGTCTCTGCCTTCCCCTGCTGGGGTTACAGCAGATGTGTGTGCCTCACCCAGCAGATGCCCACAATCTGAGCACAGGTCCTCATGCATGGCACCAAGCCATCTCTCAGACCTTTTATAAAAGTGTGTGTGTGTGTGTGTGTGTGTGTGTGTACATACCATTGCATGCTGTGGAGATCAGAGGAAAGCTTGCAATAGACAGTTCTCTCCTACTGTGTGGGTACCAGGGAATTGAACTCAGATCATCAGGCTTGGCAGTGAAGCCTTAACCCACTGAGCATCTTATTGTCACTCCCCAGCTCTTTAATGGAAAAAAAAAATCAAGGTTCAATCTCAGTAAATCACCCAGACTGGTGGTGTAGCCTGGACATGCCTTGAATGTGGGACCCTCTTGCCTCAACTTCCCAAGGAGCTAGGAATATAAGCCTGTACCACCAGGCCTGGTTTATGCATGGTGTGTGTGTGTGTGTGTGTGTGTGTGTGTGTGTGTGTGTGACCTGCATATCTTTGTGAGGGTGTCAGATCCACTGAAACTGGAGTTACAGACAGTTGTGAGCTGCCATGTGAGTGCTGGGAATTGAACCCCAGTCCTCTAGAAGAGCAGCCAGTGCTCTTAACTGCTAAGCCATCTCTCCAGCCCTTCATGCATGCCTTAAAGACTGGCGAGACTCAACTCCATGCCTGACCTGGCCCATTTTAAATACACCATCCCTCCAAGTCCTCAGGGAACACAGGAAGAATTTGAATCCCTTGTTCCTTTGATAGCCCTGTCAGGTTCTGAATACGAATGATAAGGATGGAAACAGGCGGGCCTGTCGGCACAGGCACCCACTAATGGCCTTTGGCTAGCATGTCTTCCCATGGGCTCCCTCAACCTGGACCCAGTTACAGCTGGAGGAACAGCCCCATTAGACAGTGCCTGCCTGAGGAGCCTGGAAGAGGTTTCCATGGTGCTGGGGCTCTCTCCCTGAATACGGAGAAAGGGTTGCCCCTGAGCTACTCGTTAATTAAGCCCAGAACAGCCAAGATTCAAAGAACAGTCCAGTGTGTGCCAAGGCTCCTGGGGGGCCATTCATGGGACCCAGCCTGGGGCTTTCTTCCCCTCAGCCTCTCTCTTCCCAGGCCTGGCTTCTAAGAGATGAAAGCAGAGAGGCTGTGGCGTGGGCGGGGAGGGGGCACCGGCTGACATAATACATGAGAAAGGCAGCTCCACACCAGTGCCGCCATCCGCCCCCTCCCTTGGCATATCTGCTACTTCCCTTGGACAGGACTGGCTGATGAGCCAGGGCTGACCTACCTGAAGCTCTTCTGACTCATTGCTTACCTCCCTGCCTCCTGCATTGTCCTCTACCCCTCCACTCAACTTCCTCTGTTAAATGAGTTGTTTTCAGGTTCTGTCCCCAACATCTACCTCTAGCTACCGGTGAACCTTCAGCACATAGAGCACTGCAATTCAGCTTGTCTTCGGCTCTAAGCCTGCTGCTGCTGATCCTGTGAGAAGCATCCCAGACTACAGTGCTCTTAACCCCACCAAGATCTGAGGTCACCTGTTTTCCTCTACTTCCAAAACACTCCCACACCTGTCAGGTCCTATGGGGCTACAGCCTGGGTAGCCCTCAAACGTGCTGCCACATTAGTTCCTGTGGAGGAGACCCAAATAGCTCTCCCCACAGGTTCCAGGGCAAAAGTGAGTTCCTGAAGAGGCTGTCCTGCCATGTGCATGTAAGACATGCAACACACAGGCATGGCAAATTAGAAACCTACATGTGAATACATGCATGCACATGACGCCTGCAGCATATATACAAATGCATGTGTGCACACAGATGGGCACACAGTCACAAAATCACAGTGTTCTCACAGGCATACACAAGCACAGATACATGCACAAAAATGTAAGCACATGTACATGCAAAAATACATGCAGGTCAAAGAGATGCCATAGTAGGTTAAGTGAGGGGGACCTGAGTTCGATTCCTAGAATGTACATAAAAAATACCTAGGTATAGTGGCTTGTGCCTTTAATTCCAGTACTTGGAGGACAGAGGGAAGCAGATCTCTATAATTTGAATACTAGCCTCCCTGGTCTACTTAGTTCCAAGCCAGCCAAGACTATGTAGTGGGATCCTGTCTCCAAAAACAAAGCAACAAAAGGTTGAGTGACATTCACTTGTACTCCAAATGCTGGGGAGATAGAGACAGGCAGATCCTGAGGCTTACTGGCCAGCCAGCCTCACCCACTTGGCCAGCTCTAGGCTAGTGAGAGACCCTGCCTCAAAGAAAAAAAAAAAAAAAGCACATGGTGAAGTTGACCTCTAGCTTCTACATTCACGAGCATGCACACACAATACAC